AAAACTGTAATCCATCAAGCAATCTGTAGTAGATACACTCATCTGCTCCGCTTAAAATCTCCAGTTACACTTCATGCAATCAAAACATACATAAGCATGGAGAGAATTTAGGATCAAAACTCACCAATCATAAATTGACGAAGTTTCCTAAGAGGTCCGAGGTTTGATTGTTCTCTCTGCAGTAAGCTTTGTGTTTTTACTTCAATGTTATTGGTTCGTTTATACAAGAAAAATAGTTTGACATCCTTTGTTCTCAATAAACATCTTCATTGGTTCATTTTTCTTCATTTCGATCCGGTTCAAATAATCTCGCTGCTTTGTGCAGAGTTAGTTTTCTCTCATTCACGTTTTTGTTTTGAGTCATTGGGTTTAGTTGTCACTGAGCTGGTTACCTCACGGATATTTTGAATAGTAAGTGGTTCAAATAATTTAGTTTTAGTTTTAAATTGGAATTGGTGAACCCTAAAAAAATAGCTTACACTTCGACTGGTTATTGCGAAGTAAATTGAGTGCATGTTGCTTAACTTTTTCTGTGATGTGACGATTCTGTGCAAGGTATAATGTTCGTTGCTGACAGTTGTTGTTGTTGATGGCTTCAGCCAAGTGCTGTGCTCCAATGTCTGAGATGTTATTGTTGTAGAGGTTTAACGTGCGTAGCTGACAGTTGTTGTTGTTGATGGCTTCAGCCAAGTGCTGTGCTCCAATGTCTGAGATGTTATTGTATGAGAGGTCTAACGAGCGTAGCTGACAGTTGTTGTTGTTGATGGCGTCAGCCAAGTGCTGTGCTCCAATGTCTGAGATGTTATTTGCTGAGAGGTCTAACGTGTGTAGCTGACAGTTGTTGTTTTTGATGGCTTCAGCCAAGTGCTGTGCTCCAATGTGTGAGATGTTATTGTGTGAGAGGTCTAACGTGTGTAGCTGACAGTTGTTGTTGTTGATGGCTTCAGCCAAGTGCTGTGCTCCAATGTGTGAGATGTTATTGTCTGAGAGGTTTAACGTGCGTAGCTGACAGTTGTTGTTGTTGATGGCTTCAGCCAAGTGCTGTGCTCCAATGTGTGAGATGTTATTTCTGAGAGGTCTAACGTGCGTAGCTGACAGTTGTTGTTGTTGATGGCTTCAGCCAAGTGCTGTGCTCCAATGTCTGAGATGTTATTTGCTGAGAGGTCTAACGTGTGTAGCTGACAGTTGTTGTTGTTGATGGCTTCAGCCAAGTGCTGTGCTCCAATGTCTGAGATGTTATTGTCTGTGAGGTTTAACGTGCGTAGCTGACAGTTGTTGTTGTTGATGGCTTCAGCCAAGTGCTGTGCTCCAATGTGTGAGATGTTATTGTATGAGAGGTTTAACGTGCGTAGCTGACAGTTGTTGTTGTTGATGGCGTCAGCCAAGTGCTGTGCTCCAATGTCTGAGATTTTATTGTGTGAGAGGTTTAACGTGCGTAGCTGACAGTTGTTGTTGTTGATGGCTTCAGCCAAGTGCTGTGCTCCAATGTGTGAGATGTTATTTTCTGTGAGGTTTAACGTGCGTAGCTGACAGTTGTTGTTGTTGATGGCTTCAGCCAAGTGCTGTGCTCCAATGTGTGAGATGTTATTTAATGAGAGGTCTAACGTGCGTAGCTGACAGTTGTTGTTGTTGATGGCTTCAGCCAAGTGCTGTGCTCCAATGTCTGAGATGTTATTGTCTGTGAGGTTTAACGTGTGTAGCTGACAGTTGTTGTTGTTGATGGCTTCAGCCAAGTGCTGTGCTCCAATGTCTGAGATGTTATTTCTTGTGAGGTCTAACGTGCGTAGCTGACAGTTGTTGTTGTTGATGGCGTCAGCCAAGTGCTGTGCTCCAATGTCTGAGATGTTATTTTCTGTGAGGTTTAACGTGCGTAGCTGACAGTTGTTGTTGTTGATGGCTTCAGCTAAATACTTTGCTGCTTTTTCTGTCAATTGATTTCTTGTGAGGTTTAACCAGCTCAGTTGAGATTCCCTATATTTTAACAATTTACAAATTTCAAAGCAACCTAAGGAATCAATGTTATTGTAACTCAAATTTAAATGTGAAATTTGTGGAACATTAATTACATTTACTAACGAAGAGCAATCAACAGCTGTGAGGTGACAACGATTAAAATTTACAAAATTAAAGTTCAATTGTTGAATTTTTTCCTGTGCTTCTAACTTCATTCTACTATTTTCGTTTAAACATTTTATTAATGTCATTGCTAAATCTTTTTCGCCGCTAGTTGGCCAGCAGGTCACTGTCCTTTTTTCTTCTTTATCTGTCCACTGTTCGGTGTAGCTTTTTTCTTCAGTTTTCACAGGAAGAAGGTTAGTAATAATTTCGTTTGATAGATGAATTTTATCCTCCATTAATCCTGCTAGAAACTGAAAAACCAGCTGCCATTTGCCGTTCTTGATGTTCTCGGAAACAAAGCTTTTTAATTCTGTGTCACTCATGTTGTTTGCTAGGTGCCTCGCAGCGAAAAACTCTTGCATTGTCAAATGAATGAAACAGAATTGTGGTTCACGATTAAGTGGGTCCGTTTTACGGTCGGGTAAGCGGTGGAAAAGAGCGCTATCTTCCATTCCGCTTACTTCGCTTCCTCCAAGGATCAGCTCTCCGTTTTTGATTCCTTCAAACGCTACTCTTCCTAGTTTTTTGAATATCTCCAGCACTTGGGTGGGCAAATTATGTCCGACTGGAAACGGATTATGGCACAATTCTCTTGTATGTTTAAAATAAAACACCTGCACTGCAATCTTGTATATCGATGTTAATTTGGCAGGAAGGGTAACGTCATCGGAACTTTCGGACTCCATTATTTGTAACAGACTTGTGCAAATGATGAAGCTGTTGACCGGCACATAACATAGCGTGAGCAAATTCATGTTGCTGCTGATGTGTCGCAATAGTTTTTCGCTCTTTTCATCTCCGGCCAATTTGTAGACATATTCTTTAACTTGTTCCGATGAAAATCCTAGAATTTCGAACGTTTTGTCAAACTTAAGGTGTTTGATGCTCGACAAAGCCGAAGGTCTCGTGGTTGTCAAAATTGAGGCATCTTTTAGGAGTTTCCCGGTCACAAGCCACTGGTAAAGGATTTGGAGCGGCTTTTTCTCTTCAATGCACTTGGGATGAGGAGGTTCTCGGTCCATGTTTGCGTTAAGTTTAAATTCGTCGAATCCGTCAAAAAGTATGAGTACACCTTCAGGGTTCTCAATCAAGTGATTCCAGACCTCGTCATCTAGGTGATTTGTTGGGAAATGCTCGGAGTTAATCAACAGTTCCCTGAGGCTAAGGTTGTTCTCCGATTTGAATCTTCTGAATTTCACGAAGAAAGCGGCATCAAAAGGGATTTTGGCTTCAGGTGACGCCCAGTCTCTGAGAAGTTTGGTACAACATAATGTCTTGCCGATTCCGGCTCGACCGACGATTAACACTTTCTTATTTTCAACATTTAGGAGGTCTTCCAAGCTTTTCGGTTGTGAGTTTTCCCCGCGCGACATTGGATAAATTTTGAGTTGTTCCTCTCTGTTCTCAGTAAAGACATACGTAGCTCTGTTCGGAATCACAACAAGATTTGTGTAAATTTGATCCAAAGTCCAATGTTTTACTATTGTGTTTTCGCCTGGATTACCTGTAAAAGGTGATTGGAGTGCTAATAGTTCTTGGGTGTCTTGAAAAATTATATTCTTTGTGCGTTTGATGAATTTTTTAAACTTTCGTTTTTGGTGTTGGTTGAGTCTTAGATGGGTTTTTAGAAACTTTGAGTCTTGCATGAAACCCCTTTCAATGCATGCCCGCGAAATAAGGTAGACGGTTTCAACCAGTATGCCAGCGACATGAATTCCATTCATCACAAGGACAGCGTACATCCAGAAGGTTTTCTTTTCCGCTCGTTGATTGTGACAGTCGTGTAAAGTAGAGTTTTGGGCGTTGTCGGATAAATTCCTTGGCTGAGTGGTTCCATCGGTTAAATAACAGTTAAACTTAGAGTAAAACTTTAAAGGATAAAGCAACTGAGTTTGTAGGATGATGAAAATTACTCCTAAAACAATTCTTAACAATAGTTGACAGCAGTAAGCGAAAAAGAGCCTGTTTCCAGTTGATGACGCAGTCTCCTGGTCAAGCAGCTGTCTCTCTTGATCATCGTTACGGATGCCTCGCGACAGTTGATCGACTTTGGCGCTCCCTATTTTAGAGTAAATAGCACATACAAATGCAATAAGGACTAGATTGAGGATTACGAAGCCAAAGATAGGAAAACCGTATTTGTTGTACTGATTCATATATTTCTCGTAACATTTTCCACGGACGATGTCGACGTTTTCACTCTTCGCTCCGCCACAGCGAAAATCAAACCTGGACTCGTTGTTTTCCATGTCGACGAATATGGCGAGGAAGATGACACTGATCAGAATCCAAAAAACCACTGCCACATAGTGAACTTTGTTGAAAGCTTTTGGATCCAAATATTCTAAAATCTTTTCCATTGATGCGGTTGACATTGTTACTCACTGTGTTAGAATGCTGATCAATTGTGGAGCTTAAATAACCAGCTTATGCCACCTTGGTCTAATTATAGAGCGTGATAGTACTTTTATTTGATTGGATTTGAAACTTGCAACTGTCAAAACAACGATGGATTATTTATGCATTTTATTGTTTGACGTAAGAAACAGTTGTCAGAAACTGAGACGGATATAGATATTTGCATATGTGGCAATATACGGGACCTCGTTTCCTCCCACCCCCTCCCCCGTGCTTATTTTCATCCCCTTCCTCTTCTCCTTTTCTATTAATGTTGCTGCTGAGGTCCTGAAGAGAAACTCGTTATACCGATGTAGCTCATTTTGAAGGTTGAAGACTACACTCTGAGTCGTTAGGTGTGGATATTTCATCTGGGTGGTAATTGTTTGGAAAGAAAATTGTAACACTTGGCTGATTCAAGTCACGATTGGTCGAGGTTTTGCATCTGATTAAATTTGAGGGTGGTGTGAGTTTTCCTAACTAATCCCAAAGAGGCTTAGTGAAGCAAGACTAATGCAAATCAAATTATTATCGACTGCGTCGTAAAAATACGGCCCTGTTTGGATCAATGTTCTCATCTTATCACGATCATGATAGGTGTGAGAGTCTAAAATTACGACGGCACGTCCTTTGTTCTTTGGTGGATGCTCCATTCATTTCTGAGCCGAAAACTCACCAATTAATTGCTCAACTTAAAACGAAGAGGTCATATATCCGAAAATAATTACAATAAGATCAAACAAACAGCTTCCTAGGATCTACCATCACCCTTGTCGAAAATGAGACTAAAGAGATTGCTACGTTCCGAAACTTCACGTTTTATTTTATAAATCGACTTGATCTCCCTCTCTCTCACACCGTTCAAGTCTCACGCTCTAGTCTCTCTAACTTTAAATATATTATATGATTCTATCGTTAAATCATCTGTCACTTATCGCAAAAAAAATCAACCGGAAATCAATTAACACTGAATAATCTCTCACACCGTGAAAACCAAGTGATCCTTCCAAAATCCTCCACCCATACCCCTCCCCCTTTACAGGTGATGATGATGATGACTCCTCCCTTATTTGGCCATAATTTTTTATTTGGCTCTTTCCGATTTTCTTTGCTGCTTTTAAAAGTTTTCTATAATAAATTTTTTGCAGCTAACTGTATCACAGAATAGTCTGAAAGACTATGAACTCTTTAAACACTACGAGTGACTTGCATCTAATTTTTCCCAACAACATCACTCCTGAATCAAACAGAGAATAAAGGAAATGGTCACCTGGGAAGGAGTCTTTTGATGGGCAAACAAATTCTCCTTGTCAGCACCTTAGGAAATGTATAAAGAATAGTGTGGAGAATATGCATACTGATGTTAGGGTGTAAAGGGTTAAGAAAATGAAAGACATCTTCCTTTGCAAGTCTTTTATGAGGTTATTGACAGACCTGCTAATTCTTTTACAGCAGTTTCACTAATTAAATTTATTCTTTTAGTTTTCAAGAAAATTGTCTTTAAGTTGGGCACTGACTTATACAATTTTTAAAGGTGTCAGGGAAACAATAGCGAAATTTATATCATAGAGTTAGGGGAAGGTTTAGGGGCTTGGTACTCGGCGCAAATCTATCCAAATCCAGCTGATTCAACGAGGTAAAAAATGTAATTATACGGCCATGTTCCGTTTAAGTGTATCAGTCAACCTTTTTTCTGGTTAGCAAGTAATTTACCGTTAAAAAATGAGTTAAAAACGTAAATTGGCCACTGTAATGAGTTAAAAGGCTGACATTTCGAGCGTTAGCCCTTCGTCAGAGCAATAGACGATTGAATAATTTGCAAGAGCGAATTTAACATTGAAAAAATCCTTAACATCGATCGGCCAATATGACAAATGTCCCACGCTTTTATCACGTGACAGTTTGATGGTTTTGTTGCCACTTGACTGGTCTCCTTCGCAGCCGCTTTGCTTCAGTGACATCCCCCCCTTCCCTTCCTTAAAAAAAAATCTGCTGTGAATAAGACCACTAGATTGGGTCATAGAAAGCAACACTAAAACTTTAACCTCTGCAGGTATATGATTTCAGACCAAATTACAGTCCACTCATTTCAATTAGCATTATACATCAATGAAAATACAAGTATCTAAAGTTGGTGGCTATAATTCAAGCCATCAGAATGTTTTAAAAATTGCAACATGGTTACAGAAATGTGCAGAACTTGCAACAGGAGTACTGCAACAAAAAATTTAAAGAGAGAAAACTAGTAATCTTCTTATCCATTTATTTGTTTAATACACTTATTAAGTAGCTTAAAAATTACAATGCTCCTGCTTAATTATAGCATCAGTCTGAGTTTTTTTAATAATAAATATTTTAGTAGGTGAAACCATCACCAAGAGTCAAGTTTGGGGAGTACAATGTATCTGATTTCAATTGTATTGAGAGTGTAATATGTATTAGAACACAGACTTGTTAATCTTGACTGGAGTGTAAATGTAAGTTTCATACAAAACACAGTGCATAAAAGAGCTGGAATGCTTTTGTGATTAATAAACTGTTATCAAACAGCCATATTATCAGTTTTGTTGTTTATTAAATTTCATTGTTTGTATCCCTTTGAAGTTATTTGTGTGTAATTTTTGCTGCAAATGTTTTTTCCTGAGTTACTTATTAATCTTACATGAAGAATTAATCCAAATATTATTTTTGTTTGACTCTTTAATCCCAATAGTGACTTCAGCATATAATTTCCCCTACAATATCAACCCTGAGACAAATTTTAAGGTCATGAGAATAAAGGAAATGATCACCAAATAAAGCAGCTCTTAGTTGTTAAACAAATTCTCCTTGTCAGCACCTTAAAAAAATGTTTATCAAACAGTATGAAGAAAATGCATACAAATATTAGGGTGGAAAGGGTTAATTAAAATATAATATTTGAATAATATTTTGAAACAGAACCTTTCTGTAAAAGAATGGAAATTTTGAAGTCAAAGTCTTATCCATGTAAGAATTACATTTTTGCTTTACATAGGATGTCTGACATTGATGCTTCTATTTTCTTAATGCAACTTTACTGGAACTGTAACAATGTAAGGACCACATTTATCTGAAGAAAGCTATAGAGCAGATTTGTACTAAAAATATCAGTTTTATTTCAGAGTTCAGGAGTCTAAAAATTATATTACAACTCAATAAATTATTACTATTAACCTGCTGATTTCATCATTGTCAAGCTGTGCCAACTTGATTGTGATAATCTGATGTATTACATTGAGCAATATTGGCCCATGGTGGGTATGTTTTACTCTGTGACCTTTGTCTATGGCATGGACAAGAGGAAAACATAATTTGGTCATCACTTCCTGATATAGGCCAACACATGCACATGCCAAATACCATAATATCATGCAATGTTGGGACAATATTATTTACTATAGACTGTCTCCATAATAGCTCGAATGGTACTCGTTGAACAGACATAGGTCATTTCCAATGACATGTTGGCCAAGATGTGATGCAGGAATTTATGGCAGTGCTCCTTAAACAACCAATGTTGGCACACCACCAAATATTGTTGCAAGATTGGCATACAAAAATAAATTTTGGTCTTACCATATACCATGACAGTTCAGTAACAAATGGCGTTGACAAAATCATTTTAAGACATGTTCAGGTAGTTTGCTGAATTCCATCAGTCTGTGTAGTTGGCAGGTTTGTGTGTCCTTCGAAGCTTGAAAGAGACATAAAATAGTACAAATGCCAATCCAAACTTTGCTACTCACCACTACAGCTACACAGGCTAAATTGCATTTATTGGAAGGTTTGTCATCTTTCTGCCATGAACACCGACTGACACCATTGCACAAACCATTCACACATATCTGATATTAGCTCATGATTCACTCTGCCACGCAGCTTTAGTTCATGGTCTGCACCTTCCACCCAGTGCATTTTCCAGTCATTTGCCATTCTGTTCAGAGCTGTATCCATTAAATCGGGCCTGCAGTATGGATCTTTTCTGCCACTTATAAACAATGCAGGCAATCCAAGATGGAGAAGTGAAGATACTCGAATCTCCGAGGTCTTACGTGGAGGATGTAAAGGGTATGACAAACAAGCAACGCCAAATACAAAGTTTGTGGTCAAACTACTGTTTGAAGCTACCTCAGCAGCAACACGTGCACCCATTGAACGGCCTATAAATAAACACAACTTCAAAATCATCATTTTGCAAGGGGCATGGCAGGGTTTATTCCTGCATGATGTGGTGACAGGAGAACATTGTAAAATTGTCAGTGAGGAGAAAATAAATTATCAACATCTGAAGAAAAAATTGCTCAGATCATCAAAATAAGCTGGTGAATATTAAGTAGTTGCCCATGTCAACAACCTGCATTGGATTTCATGTCAGTTTGATGTTCCTTTTTTACTATGATCCAATCCATGATCTAATACGCTGCATGATCCCAGCTGTGATCCCATCCATGATGTGATCTGTGATTAGATCTGTGTTTTGTCGACACTGGTGTCATAGCTAAAGAATTCACAAGCCTCCCATCTCTAATTCCTAATAAACAACCTGCATAGACCATCTGGTTTCCTTACCAAAGAGCTATTATGTATGAGAACATTATGTACCTGCTATGATGCACATGTTGATTGGAAACTCTTCAAAATTCCTCAGGAACTCCTACAAATACAACATTCAATTATAATTTAACTCTTAAATATGACTGTGAAAATATGAAAATCATATATCTGCACTGCGGTAAAAGAAACGAATAGAAGTAATCCTCACATTTATGAACACTGCTGAACTAGTAGTTGAAATAAGACAAGGATCACTCATATTCGTTTCTTCAATCGCAGTGCCCACATATGATTTTCATATATTCACAGTCATTATTCACCACTTGGATGGTTTATTTGGATCCAACATAATGACCAGCTCCCAGTTGGCTTGTTAGATCAGTTGGTAGAGTGCTACACCAGTATCGCAGAGGTCATGGGTTCAAATCCCGTACGGGCCTGAATTTTTGTCAGGCCTTATTTCAACTTCTAGTTCAGTAGTGTTCATAACTGCGAGGACTGGTTATATTCGTTTCTTAAGTATGAGTTTTTGCTGAGATTATAAATAGTAGGAAGAAAGTAGCTCTAATTATTGAGTTTAGAGCAGCAGTCAGAGAAAAAAATCGTGCAGTTTGTAGGTGTTAAACTAAACCAATCCGTAAATTAAGTAAACAAAAGCGACATTCTTGACTCCGTGTCGTAAATTACATTACAAAGCTCGTACCACGTTACAATTAATTAATCGCCAACCACGAACAAGAAAGTTACTCTCACCACAACTGCTGTGAAACACTGTATCCTATACTTGAAGTTTCTTGTCCTGCAGGTGAATCTCAAACACAGTATTCCCGTGCTTGCGAGATGAGCAGCTAGTTTCTCCAGATGGAGGTAATTCATATCCCCTCCGGCCCCGTGTGTCAGAATCACAGCACAACCGTTCCACGACGCCTCGCATGGAAAATTAAACACGCCATCCAGTTCACGATCTTCAACTGGAATTTTAACTATAACCTGTTTAATACAAATAGAGAAGGCAATGAACGAACAGAATCAGCTACAGGGGAATTTTTTCTATGCAGATCGGTACATACCTTCCGCAGATTGCGCGCCATGTTTCTTGTTGCTATGCACACAGGAAAGACTGGTCCCTAGTGCAATGGAAGAAACCCTTAATTAATGGGAAAAATATTCATCCCCTTTCACCTGGCACTCTGCGCTCGTCTTAAGACGTTCGCCAGAAAACGCAAAAAAGTCACGCCGGTTCTGCAGGCAAGGATGCACTTAAAATTGGACACCCAAAAGTCCTCTTCCTGGCCATTAAGTGACCTGCGTTCGTTTGTCCAGTAACGACAGGACTTTATAAATAGGAACGAGTTTTAAGAATTAAAATATTGTACGTCTTTTAGAAACATTGCAAGGGCACCTCATTGTGCGAAATGTTTTGAACGCAGTTTAGACAAAGATCGCAGTAAATTATGCATCCCACTTTGTTGAACGAAAGATTGTGCCGTTCGAGATACCCCACAGGCATAGCCACGGATGATCGAGTATCCTCTGAGAGAGTAATCAGGCGATCTCTATAGATTGAATTGCAAATAGATGAACATGATGCAAAAGTAACTATCACAAGGAAGTATAAAAAACTTTTTTTTAATAAATTCAACATAAACCAGGAAATGAGCTCTACAAATCCATTAACTTTAATTTCTTAAATATATTCGAGGTCACAGTACGGTTTATTACAGTACATTACAAAATTGAGGCGAGGTAAACTAATTAAGGACCTCTCTCCTCTTTGTGTTTTACTCATTCATAAATGCTAATGACTTTCTAGTCTAGGAAAAATATTGAATGTAAATTTACTATATTTGCTTTTAATTTCTTCTAACATTTCTGCTACAGTGTGCATATATGTGACAGTTAAACATTTGGGGTTGTGATGTTTAGCGACCACTCTAGTCAAATGAATATTCCTGACATGATTTTACCTTTGAATATCGGAATTACGTATCAGTATAATCCGTGCCGTTTCTTGAGATGTTATTATTATTTTTAGGTGATGTTAGAAGATTACTAATGCGCAATCGCCACACTTTGCTTTACTGTGATTGGCTTGATGGAGAACTACACCACCTAATCAACCAATCCGATGTAAGCCTTGCTCTGGTTGAGCGTCAATGTTCCACATTTTCAAGCGATATGATGCAACCGCAACCTTGACCACCACTTAGTCACGGGTGTTTTCCCGCGCCTGACTCCCGTTACGGAGAGGGAAAAAAAATGTTTGGTTCTCTCAGTACTTGGCAAGTTCTTTATCTAACTCATCCAGATCCGCCAGAGCTTGATCGCTCAATCTTTTGTCCTCTTCAATCTTCTGCTTACGTTCATACTCTCTCTGCAGGGCCTGTCTGTACTCCTCGTGCCTCATCACAACCTGTTCCACTTCTTTTTTGTACAATCGTTTCAGCATCGTCTGCCAACAATCAAGCTCCGCGTAACGGAACAAATCCCACTGAAAAAGCACGTGGGGAAAAAAAATTTTAAGATGTGAATAATAGGAACGTTAATCGTGCAAAATTTTACGACGTGAAAGATAGGCACGCACAGCATGCAAAGCAAAATTGAAAGGTGTCTTGAAGAAATCACGTAACACACAGCTGCTAGAGAAACGTGAATAATAAAAAAAAATTTGATTAATGAATGATCTTATTCAAGCCCTTAAAACATGAATAAACCGTAAGTCACTTCTCCAGTATTCTTAAACGCTAACCACACGAGAGTTGAATTAGAGAAGTGATCATGACCAACTTATACTAAGTTTTTGCACAGAGAATGATTATTCTATTTTTTATAGTGCCTTAAAAGTTGCATATAAATCTTACCTTTAGAAAACAGTCATAATCTGGGCTAGCCTTTGCATAAATTTGCAGCCATTCAGGTATTTCTGGTTAAAACAAAACAAAGCAAACCAATGTTATGAAATAAATAATAATTAGACTCACAGATGATATACATGTGAAGAAACAATCTTAGAACCCATGCCTCCCAGGTACTGGTCGGGAAGAGGAGGATGGCATGAGTTAGAGTTCTGTCAAAGCCTGAAATTTTTGTCTTATAAAAAGTAATCCTATTTGTCAAGCTTTCAATCAGTATACCTTCACTGATATATGGATTTGCTGGCACTAAGGGATTCTGTGCAGGAATGGCTTGTGATTCTGGACGTCCTCCATCTGACACTCTCCTCTCCTGCTGCTGTTGGTGTTGGATGAACTGCGTTTTCACTGGATGTTCATACTGTGTTATCTTTGTGTTATGGCTAGGTAATAGGATAGACATGTTGAATGAGACTAACCCTTTGACCCCTCATAGAGACTAGCATCTAATTTCTCCTTACAACATCAACCCTCAATCACACATTAAGGTTACAAGAATAAAGGAAATGATCACCACCAACAGAACTTCTTGATTGTTAAACAAATTCTCCTTGCCAGCACCTTAAGAAATGTATAGAAAAGAGTATGGAGAACATGCATACTGATGTCAGGGTGTAAAGGGTTATTCTTCTGTGGGATAGTGAGCCATAAAGCATGTTTCCAGTTTGTTATAACTTTTAAGTCTGTTTCAGGCTCTCAATCAAAAATATAATGAGGGACCACTGTAGTGGTTGCTGGGTTTGCTAAATACTGTCAGCACTGAATTTGCAATCAATCAAACATCATTCAATTCATTCATAATTAATATCCTTTTACATACTTGACGTAATAGACTCCAAAGTTAGGAGATTCAATTTTTTCCCAGCCATCTGGTAAACCTGAAAATAAATTTTCAAATTACTCTTTTTTTTCAGTTATACATTAACTGCTATGCTTACAGATCAAATACTATCGAAGTTGAGCAATTTATGTATGTTCTATTAAGTTAACTGAAAAAGAAATGAAGGGGATAAGTTCATAGAGAAACTGTGGTGCTGTGTCTGTCTCTGTGTGTGTCTGTGTCTGTGTCAGTGTGTGGGAGGGGGGTGGATATTACAAGATAATATGGTTTTAACAACTGGGTTGATAATGTGAATTGACGACTGTAAAGAGATTCCAAAGCTGATGTTTAGTCCATATACACATGTAATTTAAGAACTCAGCTGATAACATTAACTTATCTTCAAAAAAATTCTGTACCTGCTTTCTCAAGTGGGTGACACCAATCTGTTGTTTCTGTGTTGTGACTAAAACAAAATGGAGATTTGATAACATTGAAGTATGAATTGTTACAACTGTTTCTTCAGTTGCTCTAAGACACATGAACATTCATATTACAAAAAAATTGAAATACAGCTTGATGAATTCAAGCTAAATGACCTAGACAAACAAGTCTTTGAAACAAAGAAAACTGTTGAGACTATCAATAAAGTTAGAATGTCGCTGCATCAAGAAAAACAAGCTAGAATTACTAAATCATGAGAAGCAATGGAAATAATTTTTAATTATGGTCTTGTAGTTTGCTGATATATCCTGTTCTTCAATGTGATTGGTCACACAATAAAAATTATTTAAATAATGGGAATGGAATGATGGAAATAAAAAATGGGAATAGTGATGGGAATTTGGCAGTAAGCATGCCACAAGATGGCTCTCCTTGTCCACAGGTACCATTGGAATTTGTAATGTTGGTTTTTGTGGGGGAAGGAAAACTAGAGGAGCTGGAGAAAGACTTCCAGAACAAGGACAAGAACATACAAGTCATATTCAAATGCCAAATGTTGTTGCACCCATCTGGGAATCAAACCCAGGCCAACCAAATGAGAGATGAGCACTCTCACCACTGTACTATCTCCACTCCTGAAATATCCCAACTTTTTTAAGGTGTTACACTTTTCTAAGTTAGTTGGTATTTGTTAACTTACTCTATGTAATATTTTCTCCCATCTGGAGTCCATGACACTTGGAACCCAGGAGGAAGAGACAGATCTAATTCGTTGAGTTGACTGCCATTAAACACTAGAGGAAGAAAAACATTGTTTAAAAAAAATAATAACAACAACAATAAAACAAAAACGACCAAGAGAAAACAAAACTAGGTAGTCACTTTTTGTAAATTTTTCCCTTAACCCTAAGAGTGACTAGCATATAATTTCTCCCTTTGATGTCACCCCTGAATCACACAATTAGGTCACGAGAATAAAGGAAATGATCACCAATTATAAAGCTCTTGATTATTAAACAAATTCTCCTTATCAACACCTAAGGAAATGTATAGAGGACAGTATAGAGAATATGCATATTGATGTTAGGGTGTAAAGGGTTCAAGTGAGATTTATTGGGCACAATTTGAATGAACCTCGATCAACTAAAAGCTAATAATCAACTAAAAAGACCAGGAATGTATGACAACAACCTCTTTCAAAATTACCAAATTTCTTTCATATATTTAGAAGTAACAATGCAGAAGAATCACACTGACTGGAACTCCCAAGGGAATTGAAAAATGGTTTGAATTAGCAGGAATTCAAATTATTTGGATTGGTATTGAATTTCAATTATCCTAATAGTAATTAATAAGGGAATGTGTTTTTTTTCTATTCTTGCACAATCAACAATCATTTTCAAACATTAAGTCTGTTTTATAAGAGCTTTTTGATAAGAACATTTAGTTTGGGAAGTTAGGCTAAATACATTACGTTTTCAAAACTCTTATCATATTCTAATCAATTAAGCACTGGATAAGGCAAGCACTATTTGCATAGTCAATTAATCAAAGCTGTCATTCAGCTATGTTCTGAGACTTTGACATTTATTGACTGATGTTTTTACTTATAGATCTAGCTATCAAAATGTAAATGTGAGCCAAGGAAAGTAAAATAGTTAAAGTAAACAGGGAGTTCAAGCAAACCAAGTTTGAGTTAGTTGATAGTAAATAACGAAAAAATGGGGTCAAATCCCAGGGAAATTGCATTTTGTTCCAGTGTGCAAGGAGTTTCAGTCAACCAGGTTCAAGTTTGTGGGGTCTTACTGTATCATAAGAGGGTGGTATGGCTCTGACACTAATAAGCATTTTTAAATGTCAAGCGTTTTTAACATGAGCCTCTAGTTTGCAAGATTGTGCGAACACTTTCCCCATGTTCAACATTAAATTAACTTTTACATTCTATTCTATTCTAATGAACTACTCCAAAATTACAAACCAAAACATTTCTCCTCACCTAAATTCTTTTTGTCATTCATGTTGCCAGAGGGGAAGAACTTCTCACCAAATCTCCCTTGCTGCATGGTGACAGGTCCTTGTGGTTTTGCCACAGATTCAGCCTGTGATGTATAGATTCCCTGGCCTCTGCCAGAAAATGTAGAACCATTTTCTCCATAAGTAAACAACTCACTTCCATTTTCACTAAACCCATTGTTTGTGGATGCAGCACCCTGATTTGCATAGAATCCAAACCTTTGGGATGCAGCTTCTGACATGTAAGGCTCACCATAAGACAGATCATAACTGATTGAATCTTGAGCATTTGAGAATGGCTTTCCACCATATGCATTGTACAGTCCTTTGTTACCATACAAATTTGAAACATTCTTCGGTGCATTCTGTGCATAACTGTAACCAGCAGGACTCAAATTTGATTCACTCATGACTTTCTTGTCCACTTTAAGCTTAGGAGGTCCATTAGCTAATCTACTGTCCAGAGAAACACTATCTCCCGAAGGCCCAGGGAGTGCCCTGAAATGACTGTAAGATGGAGGATGTCTGTAGTTTGATTCCTCAAGATTATAGAATGCACTGTAATCACCAGCCATTTTTCCTGCCCTGTGGGAGTAGAAACTAGCTCCATCAAACTTTGACATGGTGTCCACAGGCTCTCTATAAGGAGGAGGATGTCGATACTTATCCAAAGGGCTCATAGAGTGTTCCATTTGCTCAGGATATGGAGGTGGGTGTCGGTATCCCGATTTTGTAGCCTCTGGGGGTGTTTTGTCAGTAGTACAAGTCTGACATGACTCTGCAGTCATCTGTAGTCTTTGTACTACTTCTAAAATATCACCCATATTATTGTTTCTACTGTTTTCAAAACTGGATTGTGACAATCTTTCTCCAGCATCTGGTAAATCAGGGTGCAGGTGAGAACTGTGTGTTCTATTTGGATTGCTGTCATGAGCAACCATTACAATACCAGCATTATCAGTGCTAGCACAGTCCATGATGAAGGATTCTGAAATATCTGTTTCTGAGAGTACTGACTGGAAGCAAGGTGTTGATGCACATCTCTTCAAGCGTTCTTGACAAATAAAATAGAAAGATGGGGCAAATGTGAATATATGAGAAGTTGGATACATAAAAAATACTTGTGCATGTAATTGAAAAATGCCACATGGTCTTGTCTACATGGGACAAGTTTAAAGAATGAAAAATATTAACTCAATCCGAAAAAATACAAGTGGATTTCTACATAAAGAATTCTTCCAAATTATGATCTTGGGAAATTTTTCGCCAGACACCACAGCATGAGAAAAACGTCTGAACAACTGCTTCAAGGCCACACATTGATACTATATTGATTAAATTAAGAGGCAATATCATAATATTTCTGGTCATTTTTCCGACCTAGAAATTACACAATGACTATAGTGTGAAAATATTGATTCATCAAACCAATATATATAGCAGTGACTCTGAAACGTGCACTAAAAATTCAACCTTTCTTTCGGTACATAACTGTCTATCTTAGTTTTTTGTTTCTATATCGCACCTCTTGCAATGCTGAAAGAAAAGCTATTCAAAGAATTCAATAAGGCATGCCGTGCGATAATCAATTCCTAAACAAAAATGTTACTAGGAAAGAGAGCGTTTGGTTTTACCACATTTTTAGAGAAAACTAATTTCTTCAATTGAAAATATTTGACTTCTATAAAATAACACTGCAGCAAGATCGCTATCTTCTGATATAAACAATAGAATGAAGAGATATTTTCCTGAAACAACAATTTCGAGTATGTGATACACTCGAATCAGAGTTGAATGGTCCAAATTGCCTCGGGCAGTTTTCTTTATACATACGATCGAAATAAACACATGGTTGGAATAAACAGTTGTCGAACCGAAAATCAGCGACGTATCTTGCAAATGCTACACAACCTAATTTAGCGATCTTTCCCAATAAGAAGGATAAAACTTCTTGATGATACATTCCCATCGGAAAAGCGGATTTGACAACGTACCCTCAAGAATTTCAGTTGTGTTTTCACGCTTCTTGTATTTGCCTTGTAGCCGTTCTTTGCCTCCCTTTTCTTTCTTCTTTACGAAGTACTTTCTTAAGAAGGGCATCTTCATTCTCGTTGACGATCCCAGCAGGTTCGTTCCTTCAAATATTTCGACAACAAAATTCCATCCTTTCCCACCACATAATTTTTGAGTAATGCCTAAAATTGTAAACATGTAATGTATCTTCTCGGGTGATTGTGCAGTGAAGGGACTAGTGATGAAATTCCGATGATTCATCGATTGCAAAATTTCCGGCCGTTCGGTGATCGCCGACACTCCGAATAATCTCGAATGAGTATTGAATTGTAATGAACAGGGTTGCTATGGTCACACAAACCATAGATGGCGGCTGACTAAGCTAGACCGCAAGAGACCTCGAGAAATATCGGTGATTATTTCTTTTTCAAATATCAAAAGACCATGGATAGTGCAAGCGAATCTGGAAGCAGTGATCTAGACGGTGATTTTCAAAATGCAAAGGCTTTCTTGCTGAAAACAAGTTTACATTCGAATCTAAATGTGTAAGTAATATTACACTTTGAGGTCTCGTTTGAGGATTTTTTTTAAACATAAACACCTTAGATGAAATCTTCTTTCTTCTTCTCTTTTACTTAGCTACGATCATCTTGCAACTGTGATTAGAAAGGTCTTGGAAGAGAAACCAGAAAATGTATCAGGCAAGCACTACTTGTATAGTCTTAGTGGCTCTTGCAGCGTAATTTACTTTACATAGCAAATTGTAAACGCTGTGTTAGTTTTCTGGTAGATCCATTGATGTCTGCTTCACCACGTATTTAAGTTTTTTTCCTTTATTTTACATTGATACAGACTTGATAGAAGATCTTGTCAGAGATGAAAAGAGAGCAAAATTTTGTCCCAATTTTGACACTATTCAGGTAATGCAACACTAAATTAGCACTGAATTAAAAAGTGAACTACGTGGTCATTAAGTGTACAAGAAACAAAGTTAGGGTACATGACGAGACGTTTTATTTTTAAAAGAATTAAACAGTATTCTAGAATCAAGAGTCACACGCTTAACTGACAAAGAGAAGCAGAAAGTTCTCTATAATTACCAGGGGTGTGCATAATGTTTTTTTAAAATTTAATGATAAGCCGAGTTTTATACACAGTTTAATTGGCTCTTACCAATGATCTATTGGAAGACAGATGCTTAACCCTTTAACTCCCATGAGTGACCAAGACAGAATTTCTCCTTACAACATCAATACAATATCAAGTAGACAAGTGATGAGAATAAAGAAAAATATCAGCTAGGGGATTTCAAAGTGATCCAATACCAAATTCTCCAAACTAACATCACAAGAACTGTATGGCAGACAGTAGGGAGAATTACTAATAAGATCTTGAGAGTTAAAGGGTTAAATGACATCAGCTTTAATAAAACTTTCCTCTTTTATCTTATAACAGATAGATTCCATGTTGCCATGGGTCTGTACTGAAGAAATGTTAAAATGGTTTCCATTTTTACATAGCCTGATGTAAACACGCAGGAGGTTGGGAGAACACAAGATAAGCATAGGAAACCACGACACAAAGCGGAGTGGTTTCCAGCTTATCAAGTGTTCACCCAACCTCCCAAGTGTTTACATCAGGCTATGTAAACATGGAAACCATTTTACATTTCTTTTATAAAATAACTAATGAAAGAGGAACGAAAACCATGTTTACATACACTCATGCAAAATGGTTTTATGGCCAATCAGAGCACGCGTACTATTTGAATTATTTTATAAACTGTAATAGAACACAGAAGATGTTATAATGTGGTAAAAACAACAGTGCCACATAAGGCGCATCATCTATGATCCATTACTGAACAGGAGCATGGTAACATGGAATCCATTTGTTAAATAGTGTACTCTGATTGGTGTTTCTGTGAGCATAATGAGATCCATTGAGATTAAGTTGCAATGTTTATAATTATGCTTTATTTCTTTTTAATATTCTTCTTCCAGAATAAAGAAGATGAATCTACAGAGGTTTTACTTGCAAGGTCTCAGGTGGCATTATTTGAAGTAAGCTGTGCCGAATTTTCTTGTATCCATCTGCTACCTAAAGTCTTAAATACATATTTAGAGCATTTTAGTATGATGAATGCAAGGCATTGTGGGAGATGTGGTGACCAAATGGTTAGAGTGCTGGACTCTATGTTGGGAGGCCTGAGTTCACAAACTGACCAGGTCATTGTGTTGTGTTTGTGGGCAAAACACTGTACTTTCCCAGAGCCCCTCTCTCTACCTCAGAGTATACATGCAAATGGGTTCTTGTAAATTGTCAATAAATGTAGCCTAATGAAATGATAGGGGTAGCCTTGCAATGGACTAACATCTCATCCAGGGGGGAGTAGTGATATTCCTAGTTGCTTCATGCTATAGAAACCAGGATAAGCTCCAGCTGCATGGGTGGCTTGGTTTGAGTACGGAGTTAACCTGATGCTAGGTATCTTTTGTATCACAATGGTGTTTTCAGAGAAAACCCACTGAGCAAGAACTGGAGCCTTTGATGCGAGATCCAGATATGGAAGAGGAGCAGGAGGAGGCCCCGTTACCAGATCTGATGGAACTTGCCAACTACTTTGAACAAGCTGGTATCGGCATTGGCAGAGAAGAAATATTTAGAATATTTTTGTCTCTGAAGATTTTAATTGACACATACCCAATTAGGACATGCAGATTTTGGGGTAAGAGCAATAATCATAGCAAAAAGTTTTGGATTATATTTTCTGTAAAGGATCACTGTATGGAAAGATAAGTGATTTGTCTTTAACTGAACTAATTTACATTTTATTCTAACAGGTAAAATATTTGGCATCCATGCTAATTACTTAATCGCTGAAGTGGAGTTCTTTGAAGGAGAAGACCCTGAGGAGCCACTTGATGATGAACAACATTTAGAACAACAAGAGGTTAGAACCTATATCCTTAAGTTATACATATTTCCTAATCAGCCTGATATCCAATATTTTAAAGATGTTAAACCAAGCTTTGGGACAGAAGGCTGGACTTGACAACAATTGATCCTTGTCTACTTTGGAATTTTTAGTCCGAACACTTCAAATCCTTTTCAGGACCATGGTAGTAATGAGATACTTGAGTCAAGATGAAAAGCAGCATAACAGTGCATGCACATGGAGGCATACTATCCAATCACACAAGCACAACATGCACACTGTCCTATCAGTGCTCAAATTGGACAGGCAATTTTTCAAGAACTTTTTGTTTCACTTTTAATTAACATGGGGAAAAAAATTATCAAGTTCAAGTACAGCAAGCTTTTGGGAAATGGTTAATATTTTTTTTAATTGTTTTCTTTTTACCATAGAATGAAACAAAAACAGACATCATTAAAGAAGGTGAGAGATATTTTGCACTTCAAACCAGGTCGATAATTATTTATCTTTGTGTCTTATATTTATTATCATAATCTGAAAAAAAGAAGACGACAACCAAAGAAAAATTTGATCCCCCACACATTCAAAGATGACAACTTTATTCATAATTATTTTAAATGCCCTTGAATTTATTGGCCCCATGCATTTTGATTAATTGTGGTTCATACTTGTGCATGCAATCAACATATAGATATATTTACATGTAAAGTTCTATTCTTCTTTAGGAGATTTTGATGTAGAGGAAGATGATGCTCCACAGGCAGACTTCAAACCACCTCCAGTAATCCCCAAAGAAGAAAACAGAACAGGCTGTAACAAGAAAACATACTTTGTATCCAATGAACGTGAGTTGCTTCAGACTCATAGATCATGATTTGTTTAACCCCCTAACTATATGAGTGAACAAGACAGAATTTCTTCTTACAATATTAATACAATATCAAACAGACAAGTGATGAGAATAAAGAAAAATATCATTCAGGGGATTATTTGTTGATCCAATACCGAAGTCTCCAAACTAACATCATAAGAATATTGTATGGCAGACTGTGAGCTGGGGGAATTATTATGTGTCCTTTTAATAAAGTGTTTATTTTAATCTTACAACAGCTGGTGGTCAATGGGTCAGGCTACCCCCTGTCACTCCAGCACAGATTGTTGTCTCAAGACAAGTCAGAAAATTCTTCACAGGAAATCTTCAGGCACCTGTAAGTTATAAGTTACACAATTTGAATTAAATCTTCTAAAATCCATCCTGCCTCAGCTCCACTGGTAAATAATAAACTTTACCGAGTGTATTTAATATACCTCACCCTTTGACCCCTGAGAGTGACTAGCATCCAATTTCTCCCTACAAAATCACCCCTGAATCACACACGAAAGTCATGAGAATGAATTAAATGATCACCAACTAAAGAAGCTTGTGATTGTCCATAAATTCTCCTGATCAATGCATTAGAAAATATATAGAGAACAGTATGGAGAATACGCTTACTGATGTTAGGGTGTAAAGTGTTACTGTTATTTCCGGCCGATTATCCGCCAGTAATCTGTTTATTTTTCCACAAACAGTTCTTGGTGCGGGTTATCTACCAGTGTGGGTAATCTGTAGAAATTTTTTTCTCGTTATTGCAAAAATTGACTGATGTGGGTAATCTGCTGCACTGATGAATGGACAGAAAATATGGTAAGCCTTTCAGTTAGTTTAATTTGCAACCTAGCAATTTTAATCAAGAGATTTTTTATCAATAGGTTGTGAGCTATCCACCATTCCCTGGAAATGAAGCCAACTACTTGAGAGCTCAAATTGCCAGAATATCAGCTACAACACACATCAGTCCTTTGGGTTACTATATGTTTGAAGAGGAAGAGGAGGAGGATGATGATATAGGAGGTACAAAGCATATTCATTTGCTCTATTTTCCTCTTTCCCTTCTTTCCTTTTTCCTTCTTTTCTCCCTTCCAAGCTTCTCTCTCTTCATACAATAAATGTGCTTTCCTTCCTCTCTGCTCCCCTTTTTCCTCTTTAACCTAACTCACTCCTTGCCTTCTTTCTTTCTTTCCTTTCCTCTTTCCTCTTTCTCTCTCTCTTTCTTTCTTCCTTCCCTTTTTTCCTTTTTTTACCCTTCTTTCTTTCCTTTGTCCTCTCTTTCTTTCATCCTTTCTTTTCTTCTTTCTTTCTCTCTTTTTCTTTCTTTCTTTCTTTCTCTTCCTTTCTTGTTATCCCCATGCCTTTCTCCCTTGCTCTCTTTAGCTTCCTTTCTTTCTTC